CCATTTAAAACCGCCAAGCGTTCTGGGCCTCCTCTCGATGTTATGCCCGATCGGGAGAATGACTGACTATGATTTGTTCGTCTTCAGCCCTGACAGGCCCGCGAAGAACTCTAGCAGCTTCTCCGCTTTGGCGATTTGCCTCTTTCCCTCCAGAAATAGCATTGTGTCGTCGGCATAACCGACATATGCTAACCGTTGATTTGCCATGTTGCAGAGACCCAGCTTCCTCCGGACTGCTTCTTGCGCCAGGGGCTCCACCGCACAGAAGAAAAGGTAGGGAGCAAGCGGATAACCCTGCCGCATCCCCGACCTGACTTCCACTGCTTCGCCTAGCCAGCCATTTATCACCAACCTCGTCCTGGTGTCCTTGTGCAGGCCTTCCACCCAGCCAAAGAATCTCTCCGGGAACCCCCTCTCTGAGGACAGAGAAAAGGATGCTTCGTGACACAGAGTCGAAGGCCTTGCGGAAATCCACCAACAGCATGTACCAGTCCTTATTCCCCTTCTTTGCCGCCTCAACCACGTAAGCAACCACTCCGATGGCGTCCGAGATCCTTCCACCGGGGATGAACCCGTACTGTTCCGCCAAGATCACCTTATGCAGATGTTGTTTCATTCGGTTCGCCACCACTCACGCCAATACTTTGTACGTGAAATTCAGAAGGGTAATCAGACGGTAGTTGTCCAGGTTTTCCTTCTCCCCCTTTTTGTGGAGCAGGATGGTAACAGCCTCTTTGATGCTTGCAGATAATGACGTGGTGCCAGCAAATGATTGCGCCATTCGAAGGAACTCCCCGCCAAGAATGTCCCAATTCCGCTCAAAAAGTTCTTTCGGGAGCCCATCTTTCCCCGGGGACTTTCCATCCGCAAGCGCCTTGAAAGCCTGCTTCACCTCTGCCTCCGACCAGTCTGCTGCCAGCCCATCCGCAGCTTCCGCGTCCAGCTTCCTGCCGGCGAGCGGTTTCCACCTTGCTGACGATGTCCGACCATAAGTACCGAAGAGATCGGTGAAACACTGGGTCGCAGCCTTCAGGATCCCATGTGAGTCAGAGATCTTAGAGTCCTCGACAACCAGCTCCGTTATCTGCGTTTTCTGCTTCCGGACCTTGACCCGTGCTGAGAGGAAAGGAGAGGGGACTTTCCCAGCCAACTCTGTATTTGTCCCTGTCATCACGTGAATCCTGTCTCTCCGTGACGCGTAGTACTCCTTCAGCTGTGTATCTCTGATGTGAAGCAGGTCCCTTGTTTTTTGACACCCGGGATTCCTCATCTGCTCCTAATGGAGCTCAGCCACCACTTCTGCGAGATGAGGCGTTGTTTTGCTCCTTCATATAGTACCGTAGCCCTGCGTTGAGTCTTCCCAAAAGTAGCTCAATATTCCCATCTCTTTCAGCAGCCGCTTTCGCCAGAGCAGCTTCAACAGCTTTCCGAATCATGTGTCTGCCTAAGGCGGCAGCATGTAACCTCCAGATGCCAGGGCCCAGGTGACACGAGGCTTTGATTTTGAGGGCTATTTTTATTCCAAAACCGTGATCTGGGATATACTCTTGGGGTCTTATGTGTGCAGCTATGTCAAGGTGCGGCAAAAGCGAGCAGGAAACGAGGGCGCGGTCAATGCGAGAGCTGGATTGTTTGGATGCGGCGTAAAAGGTGTACTCTCTGAGCTTAAGGTGCAGCGCGCAGAAGGCATCGGTTAGCTGAAAGCGGCAGCAGCGTGAGATAAGCCTATCGTTTTCTAGTGATGTGCCGGCTTGGGACGTTCGGTCTAAGATCGGGTCTTCCACTGTGTTCAGGTTGCCTATGAGAACTACATGTGCGGTGGAAGGGATCTGATCAAAGGCGGGGCCTATTACGTTCGTAAGAAAAGTGCATCTGTCAGTTGCGTCTGGGGGGAAGCAAGCGGCGATGAGGGTGAGGGAGAAGCCTAAGCGACTGGCATCAGCTATTATTAGCCTCCCGGATGGGTGAGTTTTAATGTTTTGGAAGAGGATGGCGGGATCTCTCGCTAGGATGGCTACTCCTCCAGCTTTGTCAGTGGGTGGGGTTGTGAGGACTATGGTGAAGGCGGTTGTTTTCCAGTAAGAGTGGTCATCAGGTAATCTCATGTCAATGAGAATAGTGATGTCTGCGGCTGTTCTGGACCAAGTTGTAACTCTGTCTTGCTTTGTTCTGTCACCCAGGCCATTGACGTTAAGGCCTGTTAAAGAGAAGAATTTTTTGTTACTCATTTAATCATTGGTTGGCAGCCCGTGTTCATCCACAAGCTGAAGATGGTGACTACACTGACTACAATACTCCATCCGACGATTGAGAACAGCAGACGGGTGTGGTGAGAGCGGAAGTGCGCAGTGAGGAAGCTGCGAGCGCAACAGAGATCGTCAGTAAGGAAAGAAAGAGGTAAGGCGGTGGAGTCATGAGAAAAATCTATGATGTTACCATTGATGCTATGAGCCTTTCCCAGGATAAGGTTCCACTTCCCTATATTGTTCTGCCGCTCTGTGGTGAACAGATCATGATGGATATCATAATGCTGTCCGCCACATAGCAGGCAGGACAGTGCAGGGTAGTGGACCAACAGCTTCCCGCCGGTCTCCATCGGGTTGTCAACGACATGACGCCAGCGGTAACGATCCCCAGGGTGCTGAATGACCAAGCCTTTGATCACGTCAGTATCAGCTCCGGTAAGTGGGTGGACCACACGATGGAAGGCGAGACCATCCTTGAATGCAGACTGCTTTCGCATCTTCAACTTGAAACGGACAAGCAAGTCCTTCAGCACATCCGGAACGATGTTAGCAGGTACACGACGGAAAAGCACTTCGACAGCAAGCGGGTGAGCAGCCTTCTCCTTAAGGTAAGAAGCGTCTTCCGTATGCTGCCAGATGCATTTATTCGTTGGAGCATTGGACTTCTGGTATTCGAAGACGTGGGACTTGATATAGTGAGCATCACGTTCTTCAAGAACTGAAATTTGGAGTCGACAGAAACGCGTTTTTGCCACAAATCCCGGTGTCATTTCCTAGATGTTGGCAGCGACTCCGGCATTCTCAGTCAGGGACGAGCTCCAAACCTTCGTCATCTGGAGGCGGACGGCTGCAATAAGAGCTTTAGTCTCCTGAGACAGCACCATCGGGATAAGTAAGATTGCGGTGAAACGAAGACGGAAAGCATCCTCTTTTGCAATGTCGATTTCCAGCTCTTCGTCCAAGTCGTCCTCCAGGAAGTCATCAATTGCTGCCAAAGGAGCCTGGTACGCCTGACTCTTCTCTTCCACGGTCAGACCAGAACTTCCAGCGACATTGTCCATGACCTCCACAGCAGTATCACCAGTAACCTTGGCCTTCTCCTTTGCAGCGACATTGCCCGTTGCCATGGAGGTGGTCGTGTTAGCCGTATCAGCCGATCCTTTCGTTCCAGTGTCTTCCCCAGCACGTACCAGCGTAATAATCGGGTCCGTAAGGAGGTCATCCGGGAGCGTAACATCTGCAGTCGCCTTCGTTGTAAGCTTGGGAGGCATGGTGCGATGATGACGACCAGAAAGCAGCCAGAAAAGGTCTGACAGCAAGCGAGCAGACCAAGAAGCTTGTGAAGCTTGTGAAACTGATGCTGCTGGAGTACTGAGCACCACCTCCTTATAACAGATCCTTTGCGTCAGGGCCTTGCTTTCTTATTGGAAATGAAGGACTCCCGAGGTGATCGCCTTGGGATCTCGCCTTGAAGTTTGATAAAGTATATAAGAGAGCCAGTGTTGTGTTGTAGTGAAGACTTCATGTCGTAAAACTTCAAAAAGGCCCGGAAAGTTTCCGGCAGAATCAAGAGACCCTGGATAATGGTTAGCTTGAAATATGCTTGCAACTTTGAGATGCACCTGAGTAGTCGAGGTGAAACTTATACCCTCTGCTTCGTAATGTACTCGGGACTTCAGATCTTGTTACGAATGAACTTGCAGAGTGCGCAATATATCGAATAACGAGAATGAACTCAAAGAGCTGACGATACAATGAAAATGACGAGGCCTAAATAGGGGAAGTCCTATCTAGGCGGGGAGGTTGGGCGAGGATGGCTCGGTGATGGTTGCGATTGGTGCGGAGGCGACTCGGGAGTGGTTCGGTGCGACGAAATAGGAAGGACACGTTCGTCGCGTGACCCTCGGGATGGCCTCGCTAACGAGTGCCTCAGTAAGGATTCTGTAAATCCTTACAGATCTGTTCTCAGAGTTACCAACTGATAAGTAACCTTCACGAAACAGACTCTCAAACAGGCCTGTCGATTCAAGGGCATATGCCCTTAATGCCCTGAACATTCCGGGCTACTTTCGCTCCAGCTCGACTGCCAAAAGTGTTAGATTCGCACTACACCCGTGCCACTAAGTACCGCGCTCGACCCTTCCCCGGATGCGTTAAGGGCCCAAACTAGGCCTTCCCCTGTCTCGAAGTTTTGGTTTTTGGTTGTAGGACCCACCACCCCCCCAAATTCTGCCTGACCCCACCCCCTTTCTCCTTAGGTTCCACGAGAGGAGTGGATTTTTCCCTTAGCATTTTCTAGGCAATCCTGTGTTTGTAAAGCGTCTAAGTGTCCCCCCCCCCCTCCGAACTGTCCCTTATTGTCTAAGTGACCCCCCCCCCCTCCCCCCCGCCCTTTCCTCCTTGGGTTGCACGAGAGGAGTGGATTTTTCCTTGGCGTTTTCTAAGCCAGCTTGGAGCACCCGAATTTCCCCTTGGCGTATGAGTGTCCCCCCACGCCCCCCACCTTTCTCCTTAGGTTGCACGAGAGGAGTGGATTTTTCCCTTAACATTTTCTAGCCATCCTGCGTTAGTAAAGTGTCTAAGTCAGCTTGGAGCACCTGAATCCCTTAGCGTCTTTAAAGCCCAAGACCTGAATTACTCAACGGAAGTCAACGCTAAATACTAGGTTCGAGAGGCAGGCACGAAGAGGTTCGGTTGGGTTGCGAGAGACTTTCACTCGCGAAACCAATTTGCGACAAAAGTTTCTCGCTTCCCATGATGGGTGGGGTCCTTCCCACAACCAGAAAAGCGCGTGCATACCAAACTGTGGACAGTTTGAGACAGCACGCTGGGTATTAGGCATAGAGCATACCTGTAGACAGGGCAGGGCATCGGCGTTCACTCAAAAGGGATCAGATGCGCCTTATGATGTGGGTGGCGCCGATTTCGGTGATGACGCGCAAAGCTAGTGTTCGCTAGGTAAAGATTTTTGTGTCGAAATGCAGGTTATTGTGCAACTACTGCGTAGCGTAAACTCGCGGCGAAAATCAAATCGCACCTGTTCGCCCAAGCGTGACAATCCCCCTCGCCCTCGCCTTCCTTTCCCTAGGTCACATGCATCCGCTCTCTGTCGCCGGCGTCGTCGCCATCGCTTCCGCAGCTCGTCGCGTTCGCGACCCCAGCCCGTCGCCTTCGATCCGCCCGTCGCCTTCACTTCCCCCCCCGTCGCCCCTACTCGCCCCCCCTCCCCCCGCTCCGTTGCCTTCATTTCCCCCTCCCGTCGCCTTCACTTCCCCCTCTCGTCGCCTTCACTTCTCCCCCTCCCGTCGCCTTCACTTCCCCCCATCCCGTCGCCTTCACTTCCCCCCATCCCGTCGCCTTCACTTCCCCCCCGGAGTGTTCGCCTTCACTTCCCCCCCCTCCCGTCGCCTTCTCTTCCCCCTTCCCGTCGCCTTCTCTTCCCCTTCCTGTCGCCTTCTCTTCCCCCTCCCGTCGCCTTCAATTCCCCCTTCCGTCGCCTTCACTTCTCCCCCCCGATGCCTTCAATTCCCCCTCCGGTCGCCTTCCCCGCATGCCGCACTTGCTTTCCCGCCCTTCACACTTGCTTCCCCACCCGTCGCCTTCACTTCCCCTTCCATTGCCTTTCGCTCTCTCCCTGCTCACTCTCTTTCCCACTGCTCACTCTCTTCCCCCCTGCCCACTCTTTTTCCCACCCTTCACTCTCTCCTCTCCTGTTCACCCCCTGTTCTCACCCCTCTTCCTCCCTTCACTCAACCGTTCCCCCCTGCTCAACCTCTTTCCCTCTGCTCACTCTCTTCCCCCCTGCTCTCTCTCTTTAGCCCGGCTCACACTCTCCCCCTCCCCCCTCCCCCCACTCTCTTTCCCCCTGCTCACTCGCTTCCCCCCTCCTCAATCTCTTTCCCCTGCTCATTCTCTTTCCCTCTGCTCACTCCCCTTGTGCTCACTCCACTTTCCCCCATTTCTCACCCATTTTCGCCTTCACGCTCTCTTACCCCCTCCGCTATCCCCTGTTTTCCCGGCTCACTCCTATACTCACTCTCTCCTCCCCTTCTCACTCACTTCCTCCCCTTCTCACTCACTTCCCCCCTGCTCACTCTCTTTCCCCTTGCTTACTCTCTTCCCCCCCTACTCACCTTCTTTCCCCGTGTTCTCACCCCTCTTTCCCCCTTTCTCACCCATTTCCCCCCTGCTCGGTCTATTTCCCCCCTGTGCTCGTTCCTAAATTCCCCTGCTGACTCCCTTACCCCCTGTATTCACCCATCGTTCCTATTTCCTCTTGTTCACTCTCTCCCCCTCTGCTCTCTCCTCTTTCCCCCTGTACTCACCCATTTCCAACCTTGTTTACTCTCTATTCCCCTTCATTCAACCCTTTTTCCCCCCCCAAGTCCTCTCATTTCCCCTGTTCACATCCCTCCTTAGCCCCATGCTTACGGGCTATCCCCTTTGCTTACCCCTTCTCCACCCTGCTTACTCTCTTTCCGCTTCGCTCACTTTGCCTAACTCCTCCCATACATGCCCTCCACCTTCACCCCTCGTGTATTCTACCATATCCCCTCTTCCCTCCCCGTTCCTTCCAAACCCATGCTTGTACAGGTTCCAGGACCATGGGTCCCAACAGGAGTGGGTTGAAAAGTTACCAACTCCTAGCTTTGTGCTTGTGCTTATTTAGTCTTGTCTTGTCTTGTTTTGTGATGTGGTGTATTATGAGACGCATCCAACCAATATCAATAACAATACACTGTATAGCTATTGTAGACGACTAGTATCATCAAACCCTATACTCATCACGACTGGATGCATGGCAGACCTGCATAGACACGAACCACAAACTCTGATGCACGGTGGGGAACAAAGAAGCACGGAGGCAGAAAATGAGCAAGGGAGACACGGAGGAAGGGCGGATGAGATGATGGGCGGATGAGATGATGGGGGGATGAGATGATGGGCGGATGAGATGATGGGGGGATGAGATGATGGGGGGATGAGATGATGGGGGGATGAGATGATGGGGGGATGAGATGATGGGCGGATGAGATGATGGGCGGATGAGATGATGGGGGGATGAGAAGATGGGGGGATGAGATGATGGGGGGATGAGATGATTGGGGGATGAGATGATGGGCGGATGAGATGATGGGGGATGTGATGATGGGGGGATGAGATGATGGGGGATGGATGAGATGATGGGGGGATGAGATGATGGGCGGATGAGATGATGGGGGGATGAGATTGATGGCGGATGAGATGATAGGGGGGATGAGATGATGGGGGATGAGATGATGGGGGGACTGAGATGATGGGGCGGATGAGATGGAGGACGGGAGGAAGGGAGGACGGGAGGAAGGGAGGACGGACAACAGAGAGGGTAAAGAGGGTAGTGAGGCAAAGAGATGGAGGAAGGGAGGAAGGGAGAGGGAGGGAGGACGGCTGAGGGGGAACGACGGAACGGAGTAAGGGAGGAGGGCAAGAGGTAAAAGTGTGGCAGGGTATAAGGGGGATAGGAGGATCCCTGCACCCTCTCTCCTCATCCCCGCCTCCCCCGCTCCCCTAACCCGCCCCCTGCAGCACTGCACTCCTTGCTGCCCGCCTGCGCGCGCTGCCCTGGCTGTGCCCCCAACACTCTGCTCCAAAGCCTCATCACCACCTCCCATGCGTGTGGGGTCGGTGCGAGAGAGGAGAGGAGGTCAGTGCAAGAGAGAAAAGGGTGGGTGCTGCTGACCACGCACCCTTCCACACCCCACAGCGAACGAGCCACGACCCCTTTCCCAGCTCCCAGCCCAGCCCGCCATACCTCCCCGCCCAGGGTGGGTGAGAGGCTGATGGGGAGGGAGAATGTGAAGAAGGAAATAAGGGTGCAAGGGTGGGGTGGTCACCATGGGGCGATGGTAGGAGTAGAGAAGGTGGTAATAGGGAAGGAGTACAACGATGACCCTAAATGCGATGGGAAGGGATGAGAGGGTGGAGACGCGACGGTGAAGAGGGGGAACGTGATAGGCAGGGGAGTGATGACGACGTGGAGAGAGGTGGGAGAGAAGGGAGGTCGACGGTGGGAGGAAGAGGACGACGGTGGGAGGAAGCGTGGCTGATGAGAGTGGAAGCGTGGGAGAAGGTAGGGGGAAGTCGTGAGCGACGATGGGTGGGAGCGTAAGCGACAGTGGGGGAAAGCGAGGGCGACGGTGAAGGTGGTGACGGGAGGGGGAGCATGGGCAAACGACGGAATGAAGTGTGAGCGACAGCGGGAGGAAGCGTGGGCGACGGTGGGGCGAAGCGTGGGGGACGCGGGAAAGCGATAGACAACATAGGAGGAGAGCGATCGGAGACATAAAAGTAGCGACATCGGGCACGGCGACGTCGACGAGAGGAAGCGTGGGTGACAGGGACGTGACGTCGACGAAGAAGCGCGGGAGTGGGCATAAAGCTGAGGCAAACATAGGGCGAATATGCGCAGGAAATGACAGCGATCGACAGTACGATTCTTATCGATCTCGGAGAGGGAGATGCATGCGCCGCAAACTGGCGTTTGCGCAGTCGCACAGGGTTTCGACGACGATGCTGAGTAATAATCGGGCCCCATCGCAACACTCTGATCATCATACATAATTGGTTTCCTCCGTCTTATTTTTTGTGGGAGTGGCCTCCGGCTTCATTGGCTCCTCTGTTCTACTAAGAGTGCGTGCGTGCGTGAGTGTCTTAGCTTGACCTGAATTACAACTATTTTCGAACTGTCAACAGCCTAGCTCTATTCCCTTGGGGAGAGAGCGGTTTGGGACTCTCGCCAACCAGTATCTGTGCTGGCCTCCATGACTCCCTGCTTTTTGCGTGGTGTTTTTTGGTAACCAGAGAGGCTCGGAAGTCAACTGTGGGCTCGGGAGGCAAACTGTGGCACAGTTTGCCTTCTTTTTTTGTAATTCAGGTCTTGGGCTTTAAGTGCCGCCCACCCCCCCCACCCCCCCCCCCCCCCCCCCCCCCCCCCCCCCCCCTCCCTTTCTCCTTAGGTTGCACGAGAGGAGTGGATTTTCTCCCTTAGCGTTTTCTAGCCCTCCCGTGTTTGAAAGTCAGCTTTAGAGCACCAAAATTCCCTTCCCGTCTAAGTGCAAACTCTTCACAGGCCCGGATTTTAAGTTTTCACTTTGGGGTGCGCCCGTGACCGTTAAGGGCGCCCCAAACGCTCAGCTACACCAAAAACGGGGTCCGATGGGGAGGAGCTGGGGGAGCGCAAGTATGGGACCCAGGAACTTCGACAGGCCTGCTCTCAAAGTTCCGAGGTAGAATCCATGGCGGCCTTGTCACTTTCAGCATGAAACTTAGCGAACTGGATTCTGGGTCTTGCTGCTCAATTGATCTAGAGTTCCCAAGGAATCAAGGGTGTCTCAGTTGGAGTGCGCTGGAGATGAAGAGTTCATCCCTCTTTGCCGCTTTGAACCAGGCGAAAACGTTGGGATTCGACAGCACACCAACTTGAGCTCGACGATGGGTGGTGAAAGGAATCCTGGTCTGGTACATTTGAGCGAAACTGAACCAACACAGCCCTTCGTTCCGGTCAGTGCGTTCAAGTTCGCTCTTTTCGTAGATCACGTTAATGATTTCTCGATGCCGACTCTTTGCAAGATCATGTTACCACCAGGGTCAAAACGCCGTGCAGAAATTCCGACACTGTGCGCTGGTTACCCGAAGGAACTGACCTGGTTCAGTCTTCTGTGCGTGTGGACTGTCTCCCTGTCGACGAAGGAACATCCACACTTGCTGCCATTGCTTAGTTTCGAGCAGCGTCGAAACTGGCAGCTTATTCTTGGAATATGTGTTGACCTTGCTTTAGGCACCAAAAAGCGAGAGGGCGTAAGAGCACGATGGGGAAGAAGCCAACTGATTTTTCACACGGAAATGGGCCTGGATGTAACCGAAACCGCGAGAATGGAAAAGCATGCAGCCAGGCTGCCTTATTTGTAGAAAGAGGAAGCGCATCATCAGGCGAAGCAACACTAGCAACGCGATACTCTGCTGACCCAGGCACGCGATTCCCAGCGACGGAAGATTCGCAAACCTGCCAATTCAATGTTAACGATCTCATTAAGGACGGAATCGAACGAAGCAGCAATTGATCGGGTCAGCCGCATCACTACCCGCTACTGTTACATCAGCAAACGGTCCTCCCCCAACCAGAAGCATTATCAGAATCAGAATCGGCGCGCTCGTCGGCAATACCGAGGGCCGTATTAGATCATTCGCCCGCGCACAGCCTCCCCCCAGCCTCACATCGCCCCGCAGGGAAGCAGCACCGCTGTCGCCCCAGCCCCGGGCTATCCGTCGCCCGGGATATTTTGCTACAAGATCCGAACTCTGTATAAGCTCAGACCTCGGTATAATCTCGGAATCAGGCCCAAAACGGTTACGAGTACACTATCGGAATTAGGCCCAGGCGGCCCAAATCCAACCACCAGCAACGCAGGCAGCGGCGAATGGAAAACAAAACCCATTCGGTACAGTCACATCCGCAGGCGCCGCTGCAGCCGTGGCTGCGTTACAAGCACGCAAGCACTGGGTGAGCAGGGTACAGGAAGGGTTACCCCAGGCGGCGGTGGTGGGCTGCGGGTGCTGGTGGTGGTGGCGGCTGCTTGGAGCGCGTGTGCTGTGATGTTCTTTTCCCTCGTTATAATGCCCTTGGGTTATGCTCACCTCTCCACCTCCTCCCACCCGCACTTCCCCGCCCTTCGCTTCAATCACACCCCCGTTGAGGCGCTTTCAGCTGCTGCAGGGGAGAAAAGGACAAGGAAGCGGAGGAGAAGGAGGAGGGAAAGTAGGAGGGATTGTGGGGGGAGTGGGTGGGGAGTGAGACAAGGGGGAGGTGTGGAGGCCGAGGAGGGGAGAGGGGGTGTGTGAGCTGGGGAGAGGGGATTGGCAGATGGAGAGGGAGGGATATCCGCTGTACGCAGCAGAAGACTGTCCCTTCATTAGTGGCACATTCAAACTGCCTGGTGAAGGAGGGAGGGTGAGTGATCTTTGGCAGAAATGAAAAAGGGTGTATAGGGTTAACGGGTGTATAATATCCGTTTTTTGCAGCAGAAGAGTGTATGTTTCTCAATAAAACATTCAACTGTCTGGTGAGGAGAGATTGTGAGCCTTGAGTTGATTCATAATGGTATTCGATTTGTTATTTGAAGCAGGAGATTGTTCCTTCGTTAGTGAAACATTGATTCCTGTGAGGGTAGCTTTGCAGTGACTTTGACTATCTCCAATTCGCCTGGCGACTGAGAGCGAGCGCATCCCTTCGTCGTTAGTTTGTTGCTTTTCTCCTCTTCCCTCTTCCATCCCCCCATCCCAACTCCCCCCTCCTCTTCCCTCTCTGCTTCCGCTGCCATCCCCCGCCCCACCCCGTCCCCCAGGACAACAGCTGCACGGACTTTGACTATCTCCGCTTTGCC